TTTGGTTATTCTTGGGGTGTAACGTGGTTATTTTAAGAATGCCATAAATCATTCATCGTGTTCGTGAAAAGACATATAGTCACACTTTATATGTTCTTCATATGAAAATATTTCGCAATACATGGCCCAGAAAAGAAAACAACATATGTTTTCTTGCAGTTATCTTTCCCTTGCTAACCGCACATTTTGGAATTTGGGATGGAAGCCAAGCCCAAGAGTGAAAATGAACCTTACAAAGAATTGTGGTTACCGAAACTACTGAATTAGCAACCGGTACCTGAAATTAATACAGATATAACTTGTAATGATTGGTGCCTGAGGATCTTCGGTGGGTTCTACACGTGGCAGCGGTGCAAATGCTTGTAATTGCCTGTCTTTTGCTAAATACCTGAATCTATACCATCCCGAGAGCCGGTCGCGGTAGCCGAGTGTTCTAATGCATACGCTGTCTTTGCTCGCTCGGCAGCCGGAGCCGTGGGTTTGAATCCCACTCCGGGCATGGATGTTTGGTTTTTGTGTACAGGTAGAGGCCTTGTTACGAACTGATCACCCGCCCGAGGAGTCATACCGAATACCTAAGATCCAATAAACCGAAGTGAAACGGAGAGTTGCATAGAGGCAGGCCAAGGCCCTAATTGGGGTTGTAGCACCAAAGGATACCATCTCGGTTGTATCGTAAACTTCATAACTTGAATTGTGCTCATGCACATTATCAGACTTTTCATGGTTCCTATTATATTTGGTACAGGTAAGTACGACGTTTCGTGAAGTGGTTATAAGCACACCTTCAAATTACTATGTTACCATTATTCTGGCCGATATTTTTATTGACTTTTATATTTTTCTCCTTTTCTTCCTTAAAACTGTTGGCAATAGAATCGAATTCTGAACCTTGTATGATAGAGTTCTACAGTGTATAAGATTCAGATTTGAATTCCACATAAGTCTCTGCATGGATTAGTAATCTACTCCTTGAAGTAATTACGAAATTCCCCGACTTTTATGGAAAGCTGGAGTTCATTGCAGTGGTTACAAAACCCCACCGCTGGACCCTATCCTGAGCCAGATGAATGCAATCCACAACCGAGCACTCTCTTGCCTTCATATCGATTTTAATATTATGTTCCTATCCATCCTATATCTCCAAATCAATTTCATCTTTTCAGGTTTTCCTTCTAAAATTTATATTAATTCCTATTTTGTTCGTTTCTTGCTGTGTGACTTGACAATGTCATCTTCCTTCATTTGACCAATTTAGGACCATGTCGTGAAGAAACACTTCCTCTGAATATTCCCACCTACATAGCGAAGACAGCGGTTATCATAAATTTGTACACATACAAAGTAATGACCAATCTTTGATCATAATTCCTTTGCAAGTTCTATGCAAACAGGACAAGAGTTTCGAAATAATCTAAGGGGACTAAACTAAGGACACATATGAATATGACAGTACAGACGTGTCTCTACAGCATGAAAAATAATCTAAGCGGGGAAACTTTATTGTAGTGAAAAGTCAGGGTAAATAAAAAGTTGCTTGCTTTCTACAAATCCAAATTGGAACGAGGAGTCCTTGAACTGGATTCCAATAGACGGAAATTCCAGGCAACTGCGCTTCCACTGGTAGGTTATTCTGATGGCCTACGTGTAATCAGATATTCTCCCCTGCCGGATACGGGCCTTAAAAACGTCTCTGAACTCGATAGCACGATAGAGGACGGGTCTGACTCTGTCATCGCTTCACATGCAGGGCGCTGAGGCTGGAAAGAACTAAAAAGAGACGCAGAGCGTTATAGAAACCAGCAGTATCGTAGCTGCAGGATAAGAGAAAACGTCCTGGTGGGGCAAAAGGACCGCCTCCATTCAGAATCAATGAGAGAAGAGCTGTAAGATCTGGTTATATTGGGTGTGAAAAAGCAACACAGCACGCGAGACAAATGTAACCTCTGGTCAAGGATTTGGAATTTTGAATGGCAGCTCAGGAATAACGTTACTTTTTCTTCTAGCTGTTGCTCAAATATTAATGAATCTCGTCTGTTAGCATTTTGGTGGTTACCTGACTATCCTATACACGCTCGTACTTAATAGATCATATTGCTTTCTATATAATAAATAATTAATTACACAGACTTTTATGGGAGTATAATACTAAAGTGGATATTAGACAGTCAGGATGTGAAATTGTGGGCTGGTTAATTGGACAGAACAGAGATCACTAGAGGGATGTTGTGAAAGAACACTAATAAATTTGTGTTCCAGAGTTATAAGCAATAGAAGGAAAATTCCTTGTCAACTTAGCAGCTATCTACGCTTCGAGAAATAACACGTACCACGGGACTTGTTGGTAAATATGCGCACCAATCAGAGAAACCTATTCTAAATCTGTAACTTTCCAATCAATTTTTATTTATGAAAAAATAAAATGCACGACTGTCGTTTCCTCTACCAGAAACCAAAATAATTTTGCCTTCAAATGTTACAAACAAATTATCAAGCTGTGTATGCAACCACGGAGCAGGGAGGTCTGCTAGATAGACCTGTCACCCCTGACTGCAATATAATACGAATTCGGCTAAAGCTCTGGTTTTTTTTCTCTCGTTCTAACTCACACATATGGAAGCAGAGAGCGTCACGATGTGAAAGAGATAAAGAGATTTGTCCTTCTGTTCTACGCGGACGTAACGAAAACTGAGTCCTGCTACCACGGGATAAACATCTTGATCTGTTCCAATCTTGAAGATGATTTCGAGGACGACTCTCGCAAAAGATTGAACTGTATGAGATTTCAAGTACTGGTAAGCCCTCTACAATCTCAGAGCAATATAGGAAATGCAGACAACCTTCCGTGCTGCATGCTGAATTCTAATTCAGCATGCAGCAGCTCACCAACAGGTTAAGGTTCACTGTGCGCTCCTCAAAATGAGCAGCCATCTTGATTGGCCATAGGCCTATCTTTAGCTTGTGCTAGAATTGTTTCGGCCATCCTCACATCAGAAATGTGGGACATGAAAACCTAAAATCCCCATTATATAATTAAGTTTGCGTTTGTCACTCTATTGACTATGAATAATGTCATTTTCTATGATGTCCTTGTTTGTTGCTTGCACGAATTACACTTCGAACCTGAAAATGGAGATAGTATGTTCCTCTCAAACATTGATAATTCCAACCAGGCTACACGAAGTCACATCCTAATATACTGACGAGCACTCTGACCAATCACCCAAACCAATCGAGTCTTCATGATCAAGCGAACAAGAAGAGTTACGCTTTCTGTTCTTGGTTCCTTCTTTGCTTAAGGTAATATTACAGTTCACTTTATATTTTCATGCTTAAAAATAGTGGAACCAAGTAATAAAACGTACAGTTTTCCTTTGCTTAAGTAATTAAGCACTACGCCACGAAGGCGTACGGATGAGTGGATGTATAGATCCACATTTTCTTGACCTCGGGACTAGTTGAAGGTGAGTGGTCAGCTTCATGTCCCTGCGGTTTTACCCCGGGGAAAGAGAACCCAGTGTCCATTGACTAAGAGGTTGGGTTGAGCCCAGAGTCAGTCTGGACGCTGCGGAGAAAATTCTTGACCCCACCGGGACTTGAACTACAAACTCTCGGTTGTCGAGCCCGTAGCCAGTCATTATACCGATTACGCTATTCCGGCTCGAAGGACTCAGGTAATATAGGAACTAGAATAAGAATAAGAACAAGCTCTGGCAAGAACTTAGAACTCTCGCACACAAACAGAACTTCATACAACATTCTTATCTTACCTGAAAGTTATGGAAAGCAGGCTAAAATTATAATGCGCAACTGAGCTCCGATAGTACGAGATGCATGCATTTTCCCGTAATGCACTTAGTTCAGAAGTGGGACAAGAAGTACACACAGGCACAGAAACGGTTTTCTTACCTACTGGGAGTGCTTTTATTGCGGAGAAATTCCGGAAGATGTTTGCTGAAGTCGAAAAGCTGAATCCAGTTTTGTGTTTGCAGTATTACAACTGGGCGGGCAGCGCAATAGCTCAAGCGGTTAGTCACTGGCTTCCCACCGCGGCAGCCCGGGTTCGATCCCGGGTCTGATCAAGTGGGATTTGTGGTGGACAAAGTGGCGCTGGGGCAGGTTTTCTCCGAGTACTTCGGTTTTCCCTGCCAATCTTCATTCCACCAATTGCTCCACAATCACCCTCACCTATCATCTGGGGCTGGTACAATAGGCCAGAAGTGGCCGCAGTGCAAGGGACTTAGTCCCACCCCACTGGCAATAAAAAATTACAACTGAGCAGAGGAGACAATACCAGTTTCTGAATTAGAAGGCTGTACATAGGCAGTATTTAGTTAGGAAGATCTTCATAAATCTAGCAACAATAAGGGGGTATTAACAGACGAAGCAAAGGATTAAAACCTAGGCATTGCTTCATATTTATCTCTTGTTACATCCGACTAGCAACAAAAGCATTGGATGAAATTATACCAAATGAATTACTGTAATTTCAAGCTTTTTCGTACTTAAGATATTGAAAAATATTCAGTGCACTAAGCACCTACGCGGCATGCACTGTGTTCGCTCGCTCGGAAGCCGAGATCGTGGGTTCGAATCCCACTCAGGGCATGGATGTTTGTGTGCGTTTTTCTGTATTTGTGTATAGGTAGAGGCCTTGCGACGAGCTGATCACCCGCCCAAGGAGTCCTACCGAATGTGTAGGATCCAGAAAAACCGAAGTGAACGGAGAAAGTTCATGGAGGTAGGCCTAGGCCCACCGGGGCTGTAGTGCCATGGAAAAAAAAGTACCTACGCACATTACATTAAAGATTCCACGAGCTCTTTCCACGCTCGATTCTGCTTCACGATGGATGCGTTCCTAAGAATAACGAAACAGAAAACAACTGTAAGGAGAAATGAAAGCATTGTATATTGATGAAACACAGGCATATAGCTACAAGACAAGAGGCGTGGTTCAGTGGGTGGGTGGAGGAGTGTATATAAGATAGACATGGAGGTATTTTTGGTGTACAGTAGCGTAAAGTTGTGTCTAGTGTAGGTTGAGGGAGCTTGTTCCTCCAGCGGACCTTCAGCATGGTACGTAGCAGCAATGTGCTCCCAGCATTGACATTGTTCCGCGTTTTGGTGTGATTTTTGGTTCTGAAGTGTGTCATGTAGTGACCCTCTGAGATCACAGGTTATGTTAAAAGGTATATTGTAGGTGGAAAAATGCAGTTTATTGTGGGAGAGAAGACGGGAAGATAAAACAGATTAATACATTGATACACTTCTGGATTAATGTACTTCATTTCTAAGTAGAATACGGAAAATGTGATAGTTGCTGAATTTATCAAGAAATTCCAGACTTTTTAAGGAATACGAATGTTCATATCTGTGTTCATAAGCGTCCTCCATCGGTTCCTGATCTGTGCCAGATGAATGTACTCCACAAAACAATAACCTGCCTTACCTCAGAGCCATTCTACTATTACCTTTTCCATCTATTACTAAGTCTTCCAAGTGGTCTGTTTCTTTCAGCTTTCAAAACAAAAATGTTTGTAGGATCTGAGGGTCTTATAGCGGTAGTTATGATGAGTTATATCTTTTGTAATATAACTCCCTGTAGTCCGTGGATGGTCCACCGAGATTTCGCAGAAAAACTTTACCTCCACCTTCAGGCTTGAATAATCTTTGTTTGGTATGTGCTTCATGCTTGTTTCTTTTTTCGATTATTATTTGACGGTCAAGACGGTGGAGACATATTCTTCCCAAACTCTGGTTGACTTTCAACGGACTATACGGCGTTTTGTTCCAAGAAACAGAACTCAACAAAATTTTTTGTGTGCATATCATTATGTATTTAACCATGTAACTTATTAGTACTGAAAGGCAGAAAGACTATAAACTATAAATCTGAAAGACTGTAGAAGAAAGATATTGGGCATATATTAATGTAGGTCTAACATCCGAGAGCTTTTCTGGAGGGTCTGAGGAAAACTACAAATAGCGTCACCCAAGTCATCCGGCTTGCGAAATAAGAAACGATGCCCTGCTTTTCCGAACATTAATGACAAGTAATATCAGTTTAATTCCTTACAGCACATTGGTAGATATATCCGTATATACCACCATATGACTCTAAAATACTCTAAATTATGATATAAAATGTTATTAATGTGTTGTCAAATAAACAGCGTAAACAGCTTCAACAGAGGTGTCTTTGTAACGAGACATACTATAGTCTGTCAAGTGGGAATCGAGTCTTTAAATATTACTTACATGAAAGTAAAGCTATCCCCATGACGGGCCGTGGAGGTCCATAGATTTGTGAGACGTCGAGGCTCCCACATTTTTTAGTCAGTCGGTTCATAGATGGCGGTGAGGTTGTCAGCCTTACACGCCGGCCGCCCCTTACCCCCGAAAATATTCCTGGTACTCATTTCAGTTAGAGGCTGAGTCGACCTCAGTGTCATAATGCTACTGGAAGGATGAGATCAATTGAAAAATCCAATGATCTCATTGGGAAGCGAGCCCGCGACTTTCCGTTTTGTAGTATAGTGCCTCAGCCAACTACGCTATTGCGTGCTATGAATATTATTTACATTATCTTCATATTTCAAAGTATTGAATAGAACGCTTAATCATATTCATGATTAAGAGTAAACCAGAAAAATATTTACCAGAATACATCCAATAAGAAGGTAAACTTCATGATTACTTCGATGAGGACCTCAGATNCGGGCCGTGGAGGTCCATAGATTTGTGAGACGTCAAGGCTCCCACATTTTTTAGTCAGTCAGCTCAAAGATGGCGGTGACGTTGTCAGCCTTACACGCCGGCCGCCCTTTACCCCCGAAAATATTCCTGGTACTCATTTCAGTTAGAGGCTGAGTCGACCCCAGGGTCATAATGCTACTGGAAGGATGAGATCAATTAAAAAATCCAACTATATCATTGGGGAACGAGCCCGAGACTTTCCGGTTTGTAGTATAGTGCCTCAGACAACTACGCTATATTTACATTATCTTCATATTGCAAAGTATTGAATAGAACGATTAATCATATTTATGATCAAGAGTAAACCAGAAAGAGATTTACCAGAATACATCCAATAAGAAGGTAAACTTCATGACTACTTCGATGAAGACCTCAGATATCACGAGTTTCCTGGTTGCTGTGTAAAGTAACTCGTGACTTTCAGTACAATTGTTAACGCTTCACTCCAGTACAGAGTCATATCAACCGCATATCTCACCGTCTCAGCAAATCCGAAGAATGCATATCTAGAACTTCAGATGTCTGGGGCGCTGTCTGTGCAGGAAGAGAAAAGACGATTGTAAAATAAAAGAAGGTCAAAGTTTAAATATTTGGAAACAACAGTAACAAATGAAATTAAATTCACGAGGAAATTGCTGTCATTCTCGTCTGGTGTCTAAAAACAAAAAATAAAATATATAAGACAATAATTCTGCCTGTCGTTTTGTATGGATGTGAAATTTGGCCTCTGTCATTAAGCGGAGGAGTTATTTTGGAACAGGATACTTATGAGAATACATGGACTGAAGAAGGATAAAACAACAGGAAGTTGGAGAAAGCTGCACTGTAAAGAGTGTCATAAATTACGCTAGTCGCCATATATAATTAGAATGATCATGCCAGGGAGAATTAGGTTAGCATAGAATTCCTATAGGATATCAGAGGGAAAGCCAGAAGAAAAGAGACCACTAGGAAGACTTAGACGTGTATGTGAGGATAATATTAAAATGGATCTTAGTCATATACGTATGTTGTGGTTATGGAATGGAATCGTCTGGGGCAGAAGAGAGGCCAATAGCGAGCTCTTGTGAACACGGTAATGAACCTTCGGTTCCCCTGAAGTATTACAAAAATTTTGAGTAGCTGAGCGACTTAGAGGTTCTCAAGTAGGACTCGGCTCTATGGAGATAGTTAAGAGGGCAGTTCTCAAGATTGCTGATTCCTTTCAGCACAAATATTCTTTTCTAATTATAATTAAATGAGCATAAGGGCTAGCTTATACGTCTCACTTTAGGGCGTCTACACGTATGTCCTGAAGGCCGGTCAAGGTAGCCGAGCGGTCTAAGACATGAACTGTCTTCGCTCGCTGGAAGCACAGATCGTGCGTTCGAACCCCACACAAGGTACGGATGTTTGGTATGTGTATGTGTTTATTCTGTGTTTGTGTTGCCTGTGTTTATGTAGAGGCCAGGCGACTAGCTCATCACTCGTCCAAGGAGTCCTGCTGTCTGTAAATTGATCATGAAACCGAAAATCAGAGGCCAGGGCCCAAGGGGGCTGTAGAGCCAGTGGGGGAAAAAATGTGTTGCTGAAGAATGAACTACATTTTCTTGTGCGAAGGATAGGAAATCCTCTCCGTCGTGGCAACTGCAGAGTCCTTTGTCTCGTCCCCCCCAAACTAGCATGCCTATTTCTATACTTAACTACACAGAATCCTCCCAACAAGAAGACAAAAATTCTCATCAACTTCTCAATGCACCATATACCGTCTGCTACACTGCTTCGTACAGATCCGTGTGAAAATCGTGAAACTGTCAGCTCCTTCCTTCTTGTCCCATTGTTCCAAGAGAGTGAAACACATAGCTTTCACAAATACATAAGCAGCATAATCTAATTTTAAACACTGATAGTCCTTTACAGAAAATTATTGTTTTCTTAACTAATACGTCCAGTCTATAATTATGTAGTATTACTATGGGTTTTCCGAAAGCTATGCAAAGTGAAATCATATAGAGAGGGTTGTTTCAGTCTATCTTACTTTTGAAAAATCCTGAAAATAATTTTATTAAGTGAGGTAGACCTAATTGTAGGTTTCCATTAAAATGTTTGGACTTTATCTAAGTCTGTGTGGTCCATTTAAACTTCTACTTTATATAAACGTGCTGAGAGTTGATCGATAAATTCACTGATTATCTCGCAAGCGCTACAATTGCACTGTCAATTTATTGGAGATTAAATGATAGGTACAGACAGCCACTGTGGAGCAGATATCGGCCAAATGGGATTAAGGCTTAATTGGAAATCGAATCTATGTTGTGTCATGTTGCAAATGTCTGTAATAGCAGCGTTTCATATAACTACTATCTGTAAGATTTGAGGCTTTCACGGCGGTGACTATGAAGAAAGCAGTCTTCTGGGATTTGGCACCGTGTATCTGTGGTGTTAACCGACGTTTCGGAGGAACGTATCGCCCCCATCTTCAGGGTAGAAGAAAAAGTATAAGAAATCTGCAAGCGACAACACCGTGAACCGTTTCTCACGGTGTTGTCGCTTGCAGATTTCTTATACTTTTTCTTCTACCCTGAAGATGGGGGCGATACGTTCCTCCGAAACGTCGGTTAACACCACATATACACGGTGCCAAATCCCAGAAGACTGCTTTCTTCATAACTATTATCTGTTCTGTACAGAGCGAAATGAATGTCATTCCGAAATGAGAAAGTCTATATATTTTATTTTTGATAAATATTTTAAAATAAAATATACGAGCTTAAAGATAAAATCGTCCCTGTGTTTAATTAATTAGACACGTCATGAAGACCTATGGAAAGTAGAGGGATAACCCCACAGTCGGTCTAGAGGCTTCTCAGAAGAGACAAATTTCTAGCCCTTGTCAGGAATCGAACCTCAACCATTCTGTCTGTAGCCCATCGCTATACGGACTGGGCAATCTCGGCTCACGACATACTGATTTCAGAGTTCTATTTCATCACGGTAAACAATTTACTTAATCCGTTCCTCTTATACCTTTACGATGTCAATTTTTTTTTTCATTTTGATTATTTTAGAGTCGGTAGAACTCCCTGTACGAGTGATCAGCTCGTCGCAAGACCGCTACCTAAACACAGGAGAACACAAACACAGAATAAGCACATACACATACCAAACATACATGTCTTGTGTTGGATTCGAACCCACGATCCCGGCTTCCGGGCGAGCGAAGTCAGTGCATGTCTTAGACATGGACGAACTTACTAGATACAAACACGAAAAGACGTGTTTAGGTGTTTGGTACTCGTCATCTGGACATACTCGCACTTACGATTTAACAAGAAGGTTTC